CGATGATGAGATACCATTTCTGGCTCACAACGAACATCTCTCCCCTGAGGCTTTTACCCCCCTTTCTTCGAAAATTCAAAAAATCGCTATCAGATACAAATCAAATATTAAAAAGTACATCTCTCTGTTCAATTCCTGCGGTAACCGGCCGGCCAATTGGCACAACAACCTCACCAAAGACCTACTGGAATATAATTTCGTTGACCTACGAAAATTATACGGAGAAGTCTCGTCCAACGGGCTGTCGGAATCATTTCTCAAAGTCAATGACGTCGGGAAGCTCAAAAGCATCGACGGTGCTCCTCCCAAAGAGATCACGAACAGTGATCAACCACTGGAAGGATCTCATGGCCGTGGCAAGCCATGCTTACATCGCGGCATTCCCCCCCGCTGCAGTATCTATCAAAAAGTACTTTGACTACATCTTTGGTCTCCCTGGCCTTTTTCAAGCAAAGGTCAATTGGGAAGACGTCCGTGACTTCGACGTCGAAATGCGCAAGGAGTTCTCCTCTCGGCCATGGCTGGTATGGGGTGACTATACCCATGAAAGCCTCAGGGGCATCGACAATCGGGTGCTCTACAGCGCAGCCAGCAGACTTTCACGAACCGCCCGAGCAGCTATACCAACATCTCTACCACCACGGGCCGAAACTCAATCAACTCCTTATACGACCAAAGCACCTCGCCCAGCTCAACCAAAAAAGCCCAGAGGTCGCCGCAACAAACCCAACTACACCGTCAAACCAGCTAAGGGCGTATCTATTGCTGATCAAATTTGTAATAATTGGAATCTCGGTGTTTGTCCCCACGCAGACGATGAGTGCGACAGAATACACAATCTGTGCAACAAAGTTGGATGCGATGGCACTCATCAAGGAGGCGTCGCTCACAAATGAGCCTAACAGTCGTCGATTTCTTCGAGGACTAGAAATCAACGCGTTATCTGAGGGCTACTCAGCCTCAGTCGAATCCTCTCTCCACGCGGAGCCTCTTCCCGCAGCTCCTCCCATAGAATCTGATCCGTTAGCCGCTTACGCTATCAAACGAAGACCCGACATTTTCAAAATCACCTGTCCAATAAACATCAAAAATTTCTCCCTTCTACTCAAAAATCACCCCAACAGACCTTTCGTCGACTCAATTGTGCTCGGGTTGTCAGAGGGTTTCTGGCCTCTCTCAGCCAAACCGTCAGATGACATTACCTATCACGAAAACCATGTGTCTGGGCCTGAAGCGGAAAAAACCCTGCAACAGGCCAGGGACAAAGAGCTCAAAGCAGGAAGATATTCCCCCCCATTCTACACTCTCTTGCCGGGCATGAAGGTTTCGCCTCTCTGCCTGGCAACCAACCCAAACTCGGGCAAAGTACGGACATGTACAAATATGTCATTTGGCCGACCATCTCCCAACGACCTGATTAACAAAGAGAAAATCAAAATAGACCTAGACTCTATCGCTTCCTTCATTCCCCATTTACTCATTCACCACCGTTCAAATCATCGAGTGCTAATATGGAAGTCTGATGTGGACGGCGCTTTCAGAGTCCTGCCGGCATCTCTACAATGGCAACTACGACAAATCGTCAAAATAGGTAAGGCTTTCCACGCAGATAGAAATGTGAACTTTGGATGCTCAAGTTCTCCGAAACTTTGGTGCTCGTTCTTTTCTCTGGTCTTGTGGATTGCTTACTACGAATTCGGCATTACGGAACTGAACTCGTACATGGACGACTCGTGGGGCTCAGACCTGACTTCCTCCCTCGTCAACTTCAAAGGTAGGAGTATTCCTCGAAATCAAGCAAAATTCCTCACCATCTTCGACTATATCGGTCTACCGTGGGCTTGGGAGAAACAGCTCCACGGTACGGTGCTAGAAGTAATCGGCCACACCATCAATTGCGACAAGCTTTCAATCACACTGTCTGAAAAGAAACAGTCAGAACTTATCTCCGCCCTACGACTATTCACCTCAAAGATCTCCCATCCCCTGGTGGAATGGCAGCGCCTAACAGGCTGGGCCAACTGGGCGCTGAACATCTTCCCTCTGGGAAGATGGTCGATTCAGTCCTCTTGGGACAAGATGTCGGGTAAATCAATTCGCAGCGCTCACATCCCATTGAACCGAACCAACAAAGATGATCTCAACTGGCTGGCCAATGCACTGGAAGCCTGGGAAGGAAGGTTGGTCTTAGAAAACCTCCACTGGCCGCTCAAAGCGGCAGACTGCGTCTTTTTCTGTGATGCATGTCCAGTCGGCCTTGGCATATGGCGCCCGGCCACAGCCATGGGATGGTGTTACTCCCTGCCGCCCCCAGCCCGTAACATTTACTGGGCCGAGCTTCTGGCGGTTACCTTGGCAATAAAGCTGGCATCCAGCATTAAGGCAAGGAAAGTGCTTATCTTCACGGACAATGAGTCGGTATCACACCTATTCAGCTCCCACAAGCCAATACCGTTGATCAGAACTGTCTTTAAGTTCGCGGTAAACCTAATGTTGGACAAAAAAATGGACGTGAAAGTGCGTCACATATCGAACGAGGATAACAAGGTAGCCGACTCGATCTCTAGGTTCTTGGCTGACAGAACAAAGGCCCTAGCTCCTAACGTTACGGTAATCAACATCGAACCGGAACCGGAATTGCTTGTTGGAGGTTGCACAAGCCGGTCGTTCCTCTCGACGGCTTGATTCCCCCAAAAAACCGTTTCTCTCTTTCTCTCTTAATACACTTCACAAAACAAATAAAAATAAAAAATAAAAAAAATCTATTTTTTCTTCGTTTCCGTTTCTACACTGTCTAGTTCACTGTCTCACTTTGCTCGAAAGTTGTAAAACACCACATAAAAAACCTCACGGTCAGCTCCTCCTCAAAACCTGCTTGACCGATCCGAACTATTTATCCTAAAAACCATCCGACTCAACGCCGGAAAATGAAAAAAGCAAAACGTCCGCCTAAAAAGCTCAGTTTTCAGGAACTCGAAGCTATGAACAAGGACGATATAGACCATCATCTCGAACCAAACTCGAAAGCAAAGTACGAGTCAGGGGCGAGACGATTCGCCAAGTTTTGTGAAAACCAAGGCAAGGACTTCTACCCAAGCGAAACCAACCTTTGCCACTTCATTTCGGTGGTATCGCGAGAACTCTTGCCATCAACGGTAAGCAAGTATCTCACAGGAATCGCATTCATCTTTCGCGAACGCTACCCTGGGGTGGACCAAGTCAGGAACTCGCAACGAGTCAGGAAAACGCTCCGCGGCTGCAAGAAGCTCTTTACCCTCCCGGTCACTCAGGCAAACCCTTTCACAATGAGCGATGTACGCACTTGCGCTGAAGAATACAATTCCTCCTTCAACGACGCCCTTTTCAATGCAATTGTAGCATTAGGGTTCTCCGCACTCCACCGTCTAGGTGAACTCGTCGTCCCAGATTCTTTAAAACTCCAAAACCCTCGCAAATGCATACGCAGATCTTCCCTCGTGTTCTCGGTGTGTGGTACCGTCGCCTGCTACAACCTCCTATACCACAAAGCCGACCCCGACTTCAACGGCACGCCAGTATCCATCGTTCAACGAGAATACAAGGACACGTGCCCAGTCAATACCTTACTATTCTACGCGGTGTGGCGCGAACGTTGCTTCCCATGCGAACCGATGCTCTTTATGCGCGAAAACGGTTGCCAGCCCACCAGAACATGGTTCATCCAACGTCTTGAAGCAATTTTTAACAAAACACGCTCAGGTCACTCGCTGCGCGCAGGCGGCGCCACGTGTTACGCACAAAGCGGCATGGAACACGAAACCATCCGCCAAATCGGCAGATGGTCATCAAACGCCTGGGAAACTTACATCAGAAGTCACCCGCTGTTGAACCTAAGAAAGACCCAGTGCTTCGCACAGACCTCGGGACTGTCTATAGGAGAGCAGGTGGAATTCCCAAGAGCAGCTCTCGTAAGCCTCTAATCGAACTCCTTGCCCCTGTACCCCAAGCCTCATGCAACCGTCAGATGACTGACCGTTTGCAATCATATTGCCTTCTCTCCCACAGCCGTGGACCAGAACCAGGCCAATAGCCCCCCTTGACGAACCCAGTCGGGGTCAGCGTAGAGTAAGTCGTCACGACCTTATCTCTGTAAAATCTCGCTAATCAAAGACCTCATGTTGCAGAGTCTTCGTCATAGGAACCAGCCACCGGCGGATTCCTAGGAAAATGTCGACTACGTCGCTTTTCAAAAACACCCGTTAGTCACTCATGACATGTCTAACGAGGTGCAAAACATGTGACGCTAACAAAATATCTCGGGCATACTCCTGAATTTTTTACAACGCGCACAACTACGACGCTACAGAGTTCAACACCATTCGTCCAAGAGGACTCTCACATCTCCACTCTACAATTACCATCACCACTCTTCCACTACGAGGGCGGTTGAACTCTCATGTGTCGTCAGTTTATGTCAGGTTTCGAAAAACCAGTTTTTTCTATTTCTTTTCTTTCTTAGTCTTTACCAGCGTCCCGTCATCTCATGCACGCTAATAAGACTCATTTGCCTCACGGCAGTCAAGCGTAAACCAGTGGTTGATCTGCCAGAGCCCAGACCCATTCCTGGGAGTCGGTACGCGTATTGACATACGGGAATGGGGTTGAAAAGGCGTCCGGGTAGTGAAAACACGCGGGGTGGAACCATAACGTCCCATCCTCTCCGGCGGAGATACTTCCATCTCACGTGCCGGCAGAGGATGGACGTTAGGATGCAATGAGAGCACCCACTATGGTTGCGTTAACTCGGTGATTTAGCGTTACCCTAACGCTAAAATACCAACAGGTCCACTATGGACCTGTTGTAGACCTGCGGTCCGTACGGCTGCGTCAAGTCTTGCACTTCGTGTGCTCAGATTTACGCAAGCCTACGACTTGATTTATCGTAGGAACTAGGGAAAGCAGACGATAAATCATCCCATAGTGGATTTCACGCGGTTACCAACTTTGGTAAAACACGCATGATCAAACTTCGCGCTCAGGAACGCAAACTTTACGATAAAACACTCCCACCATAGTGGGTGCTCTGAGCGTTAAAAAATTATTTCCCTATAATTCCTGTCCTCTGTCGAGAAGCTCATTTGTCCCACTTAGAAATTTCTTTACAAAAATTATCAGTCCGCGCAATTCTCTTTTCACTATAGCCTTTTTTCTCTTATTCAGTCTTATATAAAAACGAAAAATATCCAACCTTTTTTGTTGACCTCCCGCCCGCCCAAACTACTTAAAGATGGAAAACTGTTACCTTCTGTCATCCTCTATTATATAAAATTTTTTCATTGTTGTTCGACAAAACTTGTTAGTCACCTAAAACATTCCGCCCACTGAACTCTCATGTGTCGTCAGTTTATGTCAGGTTTCGAAAAACCAGTTTTTTCTATTTCTTTTCTTTCTTAGTCTTTACCAGCGTCCCGTCATCTCATGCACGCTAATAAGACTCATTTGCCTCACGGCAGTCAAGCGTAAACCAGTGGTTGATCTGCCAGAGCCCAGACCCATTCCGTAAAGTTTTTGAACTGTAACTGGCTTCTTGCTTGATTCTAGCACCACGCCTTCCTCCGCACGTTTTGTGGCTCTAAGTAGCATTTTCACGATATCGGGATCGACGGTGATTTTCGAGAGGTGCTTTACGATATGCCAGGCGTTGATTCCGTCGATGTACTTGTCTATCGTCTTCGCCGCGATTGGCTTCTTTGGAGGATTAGGTACGTCTATTCTAGTTCTTCCGGCCCAAGTAATGAAACCGTATATCTCTGTTGTGCTAATTGGACGGTTTCCATTGAATTCTCTTCCAGTTGATTCTATATAAGCGATATACTTCGATAGTCCTGACGAGTATCCTGCAAGAGTCGTTCGGGCCCAACTTCCCACCGCGAGATGTGCCCCTGGCTTCGATGATCTCTTTGCGGCTCTTCCAAAGTGGCCTGGTACGTCATACGGGCGAGATTGTGCATTCGTAAGGCGTTTCCGTCTTTGGCAAGGCATACTTCGATTTGATTCGGGGAAACTGAAGGTTTAAGACACTTCTCTTCTCACGACCAACTCTAGGCTTTCTCAAACCTGGTCTAGGAGCTCTCTTCCAACCCGCGTGCCGGCATTTATTCATTAGAAAGGGCTCCCATACCTTTATGGCGCACTTTCCTAGTGTTGGGTCAAGCATATCTTATTTGTTTAGATATACCTTACTGTGGTACTCAAGGCTTTGTATCTCACAATCTCGACCTGGTCAGAGTTATCTCGGCACGACTTTCGTGTCTTGCCGGTGACAAAAGGTGGCAAAAGAAGGATTTCGTTATGCATTTCTCTCACATTTGTTGTAGAAACCTATGCAGATCAAGTGGTAAGTCTATCCATAGTTTATCTATTTTCCTTTTCCGTGAAAGTTTACCCCGTGATAATGCATCTGCTGCGTTATCTGCTGAGACTACCCTTTTCGCAGTTATTGCGTACTGTTTTGCTAGGATTCGTTCTTGGATCAACTTCCATTCTGCATTCACCAATGGATCCTTTGATTTTCCATTTACCACCGCGTTCTCCGTTACGGTGTTATCAGTCAATACTAAGTAATTTCTTCCTTCCACTCGTTCTATTTGTTCTATCATGAGTAACCCAATTCTAATCGCTGCCGTTTTGGCCCATGCTATTCCTCTTTTTTCGCCACTCTCCTCAGGATCGTTCCATCCTTCTTTAAGCTTGAACTGCGACCATCTTCTTCCTACAATTACGCCAATTCCGTAAGAGGTAGAAGCGTCGCCGACCCAACCGACATTTCGGACCTCTGGTTTTGGGATTACTCGTAGAGGATCAGCTTGTTGTAACGTTTCCAGCCAGATTTTTAGGTCTTCTTGTATCTCTGGAGATATTGGTCTCAACGCATACTTATTTCCCCAATTTTTCATCATCCGATATATCGCCAACGTGTATACTCTCATTTGGGGAAAAACAAATGTTATATGGTTTAACCTTCCCACTAGGACTTCAGTATTTTTGAAAGATTGTTTATCTTCTTGTACGTATTCTTTTATTTGATTCATTCGTAATTCTATTTTTTCTTGTGGTAATCGTACTGTTTTATTTTCACCATTCCATATAAACCCCAAGTACTTTTGTTCTGAATCGAATTCTCTCCACTTTTTTTTGTTTGTCTCTACGCCTAGTTCTTGGCTTGCCATTGCTATCTGGCGCATAGTTGTCTTATTAGATCCGTCTGCAGGTTTTACAAATAGGGTATCATCTACCCAACGAAAGCCTTTAAGTAAGTTGAACTTGACTATCATTATCGCCTTCCATGCTTCGGCTGCCTCGCCAAAGGTCCCGCAACCTCCTACTCCACCAAACTGAATCCTTGTATCTACGTATACACGGTCTTCGAAATCCAGTATCATTAAAAACCTCCACTGGTCCATGGCCACCGAGATTTGGCGATAAGCTTTCGCCCAATCGAAAACCCCAAGCACTAATTTGCCTTTGTGAGTAGTTATGAACCAAGCTACGGTTTTGAAATCGTCCCACGTCGTTTCAAAGTCGTCTTTATCTACCCTGAAGTTTACTGACTCAATTTCGGGATCATTTTTTGGATACGACAGGTTGCTGATTGGCCTGAAGGAACCATCTCCGTTTATTACGGCTCCTAGTGGATTAGTTCGAAAAAATCCCAACTTCTTGTAAGCTTCTTCTTTGGTCCAAGGTCCGAACATTCTTCCTCTCTCCACTTCTAGTTTAAAATTCTCTTCTATTTTCTGCATTGCCAATAATGCTGATTTGTGATTTTCTGGACAGAAGAACTTCATTCTGTGTACTTTGGCGTTCCGGATCCCCTGGTCGAAACCCTGTTCGAATCCTTTTAGAACATGCCGATATTTTCGTTCTAAACCATAACGACGTAATTCCTTCCGCCACGCTCTTAAATTCATCTCACACGAAGGGCGTTGAGGCCACACCCTGCCTTTTCCTCTACGTTGCCGCAACCTATCGACCAGTTCTTGTCGAGTAGGTGTTGCACACTGGATCTCGGGTTCGTCCAACTCGGGTGAGTCATGTTCCTCCACCTGCGTGTTACAGGGAGAAGGTTGTGTACGATCAGTTGACGTTTTTCTCTCACTTAACGGCATTCTGTTGGTTTCACTTTGGTCAATGGAAGGTTCGACGGCAAAGGTGTTCATGCGGTTTTCATGAGGCAATGGGGATCTTTGTGGGCAAAGGAACGGTTTTTTAACACGTTAGTTCCATTTCGATCTCACAGCACTTGTCATACGACTATATTTCAACCAATACTGCACGACGTTACGCCACTTTAAACGATGAAGCTTACGCTTTCTTCCCCCTTGCTGGGTTCCCGTTCCTGTCTCTTCAATCAGGGCTCCTGCTTCTGCTTCTGTGTCTGGCGTACTTATCAGAAGCGTACCGATCACTAGCATAACGGTCATCCCGTTTCCAATCGTCTCTACGTCGACCATCATCGTGTCTTCCTTTGTAACCACCACCTTTTCCCTTCTTTCCATTCCCTCTGTAGCTGCTTGTGAAGGAATGGCGATTTTCCGTGTTTGTCGAAGAGTTTACTATGGTTGAAGGTATGTGTGACTTTGACTTATTGGTTAAAGGACAAATGTTGGCTTTTGGTTTCCCGGGTGCGTAAGGATTAGTTTTGTAATGCCGTTCGTTGTAACTTTCAGCAGTTGTCTTGGCTTCGACTAACAAGGTCTCTTGTAATTCAGCATAATTTCCGATTGACTTGTCCACGGTTTCACGCATTACGCCCTGCCGGACCAATCTGAAGTACCTTAACGCTACCATCCAACCAAAGTCCTTCCGTAATTTCTTCACTACCGCGATGTGACCTTCAAATCGATCCGTCATGGGCTTCCAACCGCATGCAGTTAGGTGGGAGCAGAATAACTCCATACAATCACCCCAGACCTCGAAATCTATCGTGAGTTCTTCTACCGGGGCTTCTCCGCCGTAAATACGAGCTTCACCTGACTCTTTTTTGTCTGATTTTGTAGTTCTTGAAGACCACGCCTTTTGATCTTTAACTAACCATTCTTCATCGAATACAGTAAGTTGAATGTACGACAATAAATTTTTTAAGATTATAGTTAAACCAGGTGATAACGGCGCTAATGACTCTTTCATTTGTGCGTTTCCACTCTTCAAAATTCTTCCATTATGAATTATGTCCCCGTTTTTCATTTCGAGAGTTCCTTTTTTAGATGTCATAATAGCTTGAGCCTTATCTGATTCCTCCTTGGACGACGCTCCTTCAAACCAGGTTGCCGGGTTTGAAGTCTCACCATTTGTGTTGTTTTCGGGCTGAGGTTGTTCTTGTTGAGGTACTGGGTTATCGACTTTTGGTGCTTGTGTCGGTTGCAAGGCTGCGATTTGTTTGGGGACAACCTCTCTTACGAAAGCTACCGAGGTATCGATTGACTTGTTGGAACGAGTGTCGTCTTCGTCCATAACATACTGATTATGTTGTTTTGGTTGTGCCGCGTCCTTATCCAGCAGCTTCAACAAGGAATTCGCCTCTGCGTTGTCTCCACGAGCGTAGGCCTCTTGAATAAGCGTTCCTAAGGCAGTTCTTCTGGAATCTGTTGATCCAACCAAATGTCGATAAAATCCAGTCTCGTCAGTCCGCATCCTTTTCCGTGCATATTTTACGCGTCTTTTGGTCTGGGACTATTCGTTACAGATGGAACACCTATTGTAAGCCGGTTCTGGCTGGATCTTATTTTGAGCCAGATCAGGCTAATTGGACACCTATTGTAAGCCGGGCCAGGCTGGGCACTTATTTGAAGCAGCCCAGGCAAACGTTCCTCTGCGTCCCGTTTCCTGTTTCAAAGTAAATTGGAAGCATATAAAGGTAATTACTTCAATCCCACAACTCTTTGCCTGATATGACGGCTGAGTGTGTTTGTTTCACGAACAACATCTCTTACATCCCTTAAGGAGTGGCTATTTGGTGAGTGGCTTGTTCCTTCTCTAAACCTTCCTCACTTCCACTTTCCTCTTCCTCCTTCTCTTCTTCATCTATCCCGTTCCATTCCTCATCTCCTTGAGCTTGTTGATCTTCTATCACTTGATTGTTTTGTATTTCTTTTTGACGTTTCTCTTTTAACTTCTTTCCTTCTCTTGTTTGTTTTAAGCCTTTTGGTCTTTCCAGACGTCCTGACCTTAAGTTCGTTGGCGTCCTATTCGAATGGCTGCTCCTTGGTCTGCCGCCTCCGTTGGTTCCTCTCCTTGGAGTTACTAAGCGGTTTCCCGGTCGTACTCCCGTAGCAGCTGCTTGTGCTCTTGTCAGGACTGTGTAAGGTTCAAGGAGAACCTTCACTGGATACCTCGAGCGGGACACTGTGCGAACACAGCAACGGGTTTCTAGAACCCAAGTGACCTGATTTGTATTTCAAATCCAACGAGAACACAGCTGGTTCCGAAGGATAGAGGGGGTTTGATCAGTCCCGATATCACTCCTAACTATGAACAGCTACAATAATAAAGAAAAGAGAAATGAAATGAAATAATAACTTTACCTGGTTCCGAAGGATAGAGGGGGTTTGATCAGTCCCAATATCACTAAGGAACCATCGGTAAGAATGAAAGGAAAACAAGTATATATAGAATATGTAATTTAAGACTTAAGATCTAAATCTCTAGGTGTGCAGTTATGTGTCTGTGTAATGACCGCAGGTCTTACAGTCTCCCCCCCTATAAAAGAACAAAAGAAAAAATGAAAGGAAAAAAAATGAAAGCAGAATATATATATAAAAATTGAAATCCAATTTGAACAATCAAGTAAACAAAATCTGAAAAGTAAAAAAGAAAAGAACTAAAAGAAAAAGAAAGAAAAGAAAAAAAAATACTGAAGGCAAAAGAAAAGAAGAAGAAAGAAAAAAAACTTGAATTAAATATTGAGGCCGAAGTGTTGTGCTTGAAGCGTAATACGTCGTCATCGTCCATCGCCATTGACAACTAAGGGGAGAATGTCGAAGTGGTTGTGCTCACAGAGTGGCCTAGGCGTTGCTTTTTGACAATTTCGTAGTATACTACGGCGGTGCATACAGAGGAGAGGAACTTACTTCCGTACTCCTTCTCTAGGCGCCTCGACTTCACCTTCCTCTCGTTCGACGTAAGGCTTCACCTTCGAGATGTGAAAGACATTATGCCGTCGATCTCCCTCCGGTAATTCTAATTCAACATTCTGGCCGTGGTTTGTCGAGGTAAGGACCTTATAGGGGCCTTCAAATCTTTCTTTGAGTTTGTCTACACCTCCTTGATGTCGACCCCTCCAATCGGCGTTGTCCAGTAATGCCCAAGAATTTGGTGGTAAGGCTTCCACTGCTCGGCAGCGCTTGTTATGCTGCACAGCTTGCTGAACCCGACTAGTCCAGAGGGCATCGCGTGCTGATGCCCACGCATCTTGCCTCGTTTTTAGCCACTTTTCTAAGGTTGCTGGGTCAGTGTCTTCTGCTCCTTGAAGTGAAATGAGCCGCTGACGTCGTCCGTAGATCAATTCGAACGGGGTCTGGCCTGTAGATACATTCATCGCGCCATTGATAGCGTATTCCACCGCCGCCAAAGACTCAAGCCATTTACCTTGGCGTTTGGCCGTGAACGTGCGGAGTATCTGGCCCACGGTGCGGTTAGTACGTTCGCTCCTTCCATCGGCCTGTGGATGGAAAGCAGTTGTCATATGGAAATTGGTACCGCATCGACGCATGAGAGCTTTCCAAAAATGTGATGTCCACGTCTTGTCGCGGTCGCTGATAATTGAAGTCGGCGCGCCGAATGTACCAATCCATGCTGAAAAAAGTCGAGATGCGGTCTTCTCTGCGTTGTCTGTTTGGTTGCAAGGAATTGTTTTTGTAAAACCGGACAGCCTGCACGTACAAGTCAAAATCATGTCATAATTATTGACTTTCGGCAGTGGGCCAACGAAGTCGATTGCTAAGCACTCGAGGGGAACCTGTGGAATAGATGGTGTAAGCATTTTCCCCATCGGAGCCTGAGTAGAGCCTTTAGTGCGTTGGCACACGTCACAAGACTTGACAAAAGCTTGAACATCCTTCGCCATCTTTGGCCAGAAAAAATCTCTCCTAAGGTCGCCTATAGTCTTCAAATAACCTAAGTGTCCCAGCCGCGAATGTGCCTCGTCCACCAACTCATCTCTCAAGCTATTGACGAAAGGAACATACAATCTATTTTCAATATAGAGTAATCCATCCACCACCACACAATCCTCCCTCAGTGGAAGTACTGCCATGACCGTGCTATGGAAGGTGTCGCCATCGTAACCTTGTATGATGCGGTCACGCACCAGCGGCGATAGTACTGGTCCAGCCTCGAGTAAAGCAGCCACACAATCCACACCGTCTTCTTCTATCTCTTTCCTTGATAGTGCGTCAGCTACACTGTTATCTTCACCTCTGATATATTTGAAATCTACATCGAAATCCGCGAGTGTCTCAATCCACCTGGCTTGGCGTCGGCTGAGGGTTCTTTGTTTGAGGAGGTAAGTCAAGGTGTGGTGATCCGTCATAACATTGATTTTCATTCCTAATAGAAGCATCCTCCACTTGTGCAGCGCGTGCATTACAGCCAGCAGCTCCTGCTCATGTACTGGGTAGTTGCGCTCGGCGGGTGTCATTTGTCTTGATTCGTAAGCCACCGGAGACGCTATCTTCCACTCCTTGCCCTGGAATAGTGCTGCACCTAACCCCGATCCACTCGCGTCGGTAAAGAGCCACACTGGATCATCTGATTCGAAGTCTATGTTCTTCAAGTGAGGTAAGGACGTCATTAAGCGCTTAATATTTTGAAATGCGTCATCTTCTTCTTTGCCCCAATTGAATTTCGAGGGGTCGAGTTTCGTGCTGGTGAGAGGGGTCAGTTTATTCACGTATTTCTCTAGACCCCAGATGAACTTTTTCATCCATTGCACGGTACCTAGAAATTTCTTGACACCTTTTGCTGACTTTGGCCTCTTCCAATTCAACACCTGTTCCACTTTCTCATCATCTGCTCTAATTCCTTCTTCTGATATATAATGTCCTAAAAATTTGATTTCTTTCCTAAACAATTTTGTCTTCTTCTTACTACAGTATAAATTAGCCTCCCTTAACCTCTGTAAAACCATCTTTGTATGCTTTGCATGTTCTTCTCTAGTCTTTGAAAAAACCACGATATCATCTAAATAAACAACACAGATAGTGTTGAGCAAATCTCCCAGGGCTTCTTCGAGTCGTCCTTGGTGAGTGCTAGGTGCGTTCGTCAGACCCATTGGCATGACGCACCACTCGTAAAGTCCCCAAGGTGTGTGAACGGCGGTGAGAGGGATGTCGGCCTCTCTCATGCGTGTTTGAAAAAACGCATTTGTAAGATCTATGATGGAAAAAATCTTCCCAGTTCCTACAAGCCTGACCAACGTTTCCACGTTAGGCAACGGCGCACGGTCCCTCACGGTCAGGCTGTTCAAGACGCGGTAATCGCATACCCATCTTGGAAGTTCGGTAGGGTCCTTCTTCGGGATAATGAGGCTCGGCGATGCGTATTGGCTGGTCGAACGTCGAATCCTCCCGGCTGCTAAGTGTTGATCTACCAATTTACCCCACGCATTCATATGTTTCGGTGGATAATTGTAAGCTTTTTCTTTAATCACTGCTTCCGGATCTTTCAATACGATCTTATGGCGTATTTTTGAGCTCTCACTTTGTAATTTTTCAGGAAACGAGCCGTCGACGAATAAACCTTCTTCTTCAGCCTCATCGGATACTGCTGGGATATCAACAGGAAATAAATCTTGAAATTCTTCAAACATCCTCAACTCATAAAGCTCATTGTCACATTTCACTTTTAAACTCTCTTTCTCACTAACTTCTTTCTCCCACGAGGACTTGCACTCTTTCACAGGTTCATTAATACGGGGCACAGATAACTTTTTGATTTCATCATTCCATTCTTCTAAAAGCCGATAATCATAAATTTTTACACCAGATTTCTCGCACACAATAGCTCTCTTATTTATTGAAACTGAAAATTGAAAAATATTGAAGAAAGGGGTGCCCAGAATCATATCAAAATCACCGCCCACGTCTCCTAACTTGCAATAAGTCCTGTTGAATGCTTTTCGTGACGTTGGTTCAACAAGATCGATGGTTGTGAAATGTGTTAGGGTGGGTGGTGGTGACTTGGTATTGACAGCTAAGCTAAGTTGCATCGGTTTTACTAACTTCCTTTTTCGAAGGTTAAGTCGGTCTGCCGCCTGTTCTGTTAATAGATTGATTTCAGCCCCTGGATCAGCCAGCGCTCTAATCTTTTCGCCTTGATGAATGAATTCAATGATGACTCGTGGTGGTTTAGATGGAGGTACGCACCCTTCAGCCTCAGCTAGGTCGAGTTCTTCGTCCAAGGCTGCGAGCGCCGCAACAGACGCCTCGTCCAAATCTGGAAATTCTGACGCTGCCGCTACTTTGGCATAAGAACCTGTCGGACGTCCCGCAGGTGGTTGATTGGATCGTCCTGCCTGAGTGCGAGTCGCTGGAGGAGACGATTTCGCTCTAGGAGGTACATAGTTGGCTGGCTTGGGGGGTGCGACATACCCCGGCGGGAAAACCACCTTCTCTCTGACATACGGGCCCTTACAA